GAGGGTGCGGGGGGCCCGGCCCGCGGTGCCCCCCGAGGCTTCCCCTCCCCTGGGATCCCCGCTGGCCCACCCGAGCCCTTCCAGAGCCCAGCGGGGCCAGCGAGGGCCAGCCGTTCCCATCAGCTGCGCCCGGACCGTCCCGTCCCAACTTCGAGGGGGGAAAAAAACCCCAACAAACCACATTTGTAATATATTTTTATTTATTATTTTTTTCTTCCTCTCTGTTAAACAGCACAGAAAGTACCCAACAGAAGGGGTTTCGGTGCAGCTCCTGACCCACCCCCCCCGAACAGCCTGGCAGTGGGAAAAAGGCAGGAGGAGTCGGGATTCAGTGGCCGCGGTGAGTGCGGCGCTGCCCGCGCCCTTTGCAGGTGCCGGGCTGAACTCACCAAGTCCGCCTCAATTGCGTAAGGAGCTGGAAACACTCTGGTTTCCAGAGGATTAAGTGGCCGGTTCCCATGTTGCTCCAAGTCACATTCACCTCTTCAGTAATCTCTGGGACAGGGAATGCCCGTGCAAACACAAAGAGCACTGTTTGAGTACGTGGGGACGGATTAAAGTGAGTAGTTCTAGTTATTAAGTCTGTGATTATTTCAGTTTGTCTCCTGTATACTCCACAATTACTCAGCTAATACCCAACAGCTGTTAAGTGTTTTCTGAATATTTTTCATTAATTTAACAGCTTTCTTGTGGTGTGGGCAGATAGTTCTGTGTAAAATTTAAGTGATTTCACCTGCAGTGATTTTTCAGTTGTATAATACTGGAATGTGTTTATTTTAACCTGAGCATTCTTTCTCCTACCTTATCAGCAATCTCTCTTTATTCCTACGCAGCCCTTATCACAGAAATATTTATTTGCAGTCCTTTCTTTGCAGGCTGGTACCCCACGCAGAAAGTGAGGCTGAACAACACACACAGGCTGATTTCTGGAGGAGAGGACATCCTGTTTTGATTTAGCAGTGTTATTATTCTTTGGGGTGAAATGAAGAATTTGATTCTGTTTTGGAAACAGTCAGATTTCTAATGCAACTGAACTTCAGTAGCATTTTTTGAAGGACAGATTTCAATGAGTGGATTTTTCTTAAATGAAGATGCAGAACCTGTCACTGGAGGAAAGTCTCCCTAGCACAGACACATCTCACTCCATGTCTCTAGAAGACCCAGCAGCTGAAGCAGGTGGTGTGTCTCTTGATAAAAGTGACTGCAACTCCAATGAAAGGACAAATAATGAAGAAATTCTTAATCTTGAAGTAAGGCAGCAAAGCCTCCCTGTCATGAATAGCAAAAGGAGAAGTGGTGAGGGTTTTTCTGAGAGCAGTTCTGATACCTCAGAAGCTGGTGGTTCCTGGGGTGATTTTGAAGGTTTCACAGAGTCCTTAGACAAATCAGAGAGATTCGGTCATAATCTTGAAGTTTTGGTGAAGTCAGCAAAACCTCCTAGAGATGATACAGACTTAAGCAGAGGATGTGGCAGAGCTTCTGCTGGGCACTTTTGTTCCGAGCCATCTCTACCAAGTGGGATACAGGAGGCTTCGAGCTCTCACAGTGAGGTATGTGTTAATAGTAAACCAAAGGCCAGAAATGTTTGTGTTACTGCTTCCTACATCTCTGAGATTTGTATCTGAATGTCTTCTGTGTAGAGGATAAGGTTGTACAGGGAATGAAACTGTCAAGCTACTTTGCAGCTAACTCAAGTGGAACAAAAGCAACTTCTTTACAGTGTTTGACAAATACTTAAGTTACCCTGAAGAGCTTTAAAGAATGTAAAGTACTCCTTTGCTTCTAGACACTAGCAGTAGGTAAGCACTTAGAAACCTTGAACCTTGCCTTGAAGCACAGGCAGTTTAAAATCTAGACAAGAAAGAGCATAGAAAACAAATAAACGGGGAGGTGGACAGCAAAAATCCTTAGAGTTGCCTGCAAGTGTATTGCAATAAACCAGCATAAAATTGAATTAGAAATTGGGGAAAACAGTTACTTTCATTATTTAATATACTGCCTGGATAATTTAATAGTCTCTCTGGAGTTGTAGCCTGATTGTGGGTGGAAGTTATTGACGAAAAAAAATTAATATAAATAGTTTAATATAGTTAATTTTCTAGCATAGGGTGTTACATTATTTCATACAATGTTAGAACTAATAATCTGAGTAAGTACAGTGTGTCCTTATCAACACAAGAAAAGGTTCAGGTTAACAGTTTCTTTCCAAAAGCAGTAGTGCTGAGTCTTACTGAAGCCTTTGCTCTTTTTTTTTTTTGCATTTGTTAGAGGCAAAAGAAAATGTCCAGTGTGAGATAAGTAAGTTAACCATGCCTAGAGTTTCAAGTTGTCTTTTCTTGTTGCAGGGCAGGGCAACAGCTGCAGAGCTGGCTGAGATTTCTTTGAGTGTAGAATGTGCGTGTGGTTTGTTCTTCATCCATGTGTTCTCTGTAATGTTTGTCTGAGATCATAAGCTGTTTAGGTTGGGGGCCTCTGTGTTCTGTATGGTCAATGGAAAAAGGTCCAGGTAGGTTGGAAGGGACCTCTAGAGATCATCTGAGGTCAGAGGTCTGACCTTCAGTATCTAGTGCTTCAATATCTAATTAAATTATGTCAGTCTAGAGCAGAATAATGTATTTTAAGGTTAAAAGAATCACTGATTTCCTAGCAGTAGCTGGATATGTTGCCTACATGGCTGAGTAACTTTAAAGGTTTTTCATGTGTTCTTTGAATACAGGCCTTTGTGAGAGGGACCAGTGCACTTGCTTAAAAGCACTGGAGTATTGTGATATAATAGGATATAGACGATTTAGTCAAAAAGCATGGATGTGAAATTTGTGCATTCCTCATTTTATAATCAGTACAAAGCTACAAGGTAAATGGAAATACACCCAAATTTTGTTTTAGAAACACCTACTGAAGTGAACAGTAATAAAGGTAATAAAAACAAACAAACCTGTATTTTTCATCTGGCTTGGCTAAACTAAGCCAGTGACCTGTGTGCATGTTTGGATTAACATCACAGGCTCTAAGAAGATACTACAAATGAGGCAGACCTGTGCTTCCCTGGATTCACACTTCCAGGGCTGTAATTTTCCCTCCACCCTAAAGCCAAGAGCAGCCACCAGACTTTTCTGTAGTTTCCCTCACATTTAGGTTTTAGTATCTACTTGGAAGGTTTTGTTGGTTTTTTTTCCCTTGACCATGACTCTTCACAGAATTCTGCTTCTCACACATCTTTCTCCTCCATGTAGTATCCCTGTTGTAAGTTAAGTCTACTGAAATAACTTACAAATTGATTTTAAGGTATTATGACACTTTGGGCAAGATTTAAAGGATTTTACCCAGGAGTCTGACATTCCCAGCAGTGGCCCTTCGGGACAGGCAGTTTAGCAAGGCCTGAGTTCAGGAGGGAACAGCATGAGGCATGAATTCTACTTCTAGTAGCATGCTCAGAAATACAGAAGGCTTCCACCAGCTCTGCTGATTTAGCCCACTCATCATTAGATTAAATCTGTACTCTCTCAGATTTCACTTCACTTGTCTGAGTTCAGTATGATGAAAATGAGGAAGTATGTCAATTTATTTCAGCTGTTTGAATTACAATTAAATGAAACTGTCAAAATATGGAGGTTTTTCAGATTGAATTGCTGATTGCTAGGCAAAGAAAACAGACTGACTGGTTTCATCCTCTAGTTTTCACACAGCATTGCTGTTCCTGGATTGAAGTCCCTCTACAGGGTGTTGAAGTCAATTAGTTTCTTTGATTTAGAAAACTACAGTAATTCCTTCTTTGAAGTAAAAAAAGGACAAAGCTTCTGGACCAGATGTCATGATAAATTCCCTTTAGGATAGAATATAAATTATGCACATTTGTCCTTGCATATGCATTTCTTAGTCTTCAGATAACCCTGTTGCTTCCAGTAGGCCTGTTTGGATCACTCATGTGCCTGTGTTCAGTCCTCAAAACCTCCTCCTCGTCACTGCTGAGGGAGGAAGCAGGATGTAAATCTGACTCTTGATTTTGAACACAGGCTGGAAAAAGTTAAGTGCAAATGGAAGGATATAGGGACATACTCACCCCAGCTTGTATGCAGACTTACACAGTGCAAGTATTTGTTGGTAACTGTGGCTTTTAGTAGTTATGTTAAAATTGACTGATTAGTTGTGTTGGAAGTCAACAAAACAAGCTTCTTAATTTATGGATGCACCAGTTTTGACCTGAACAGAATTAGCTGAGCAGAAGGAGTCTTGAGTACTAACAGGCAAACCAGTCTATAACATAGGAGATGGGAAGCTAGAGAAGCAAGGTTCATCGGAAACTCGTGGACTCTTTCTCCTCTTCTAATTCAGGGTAAATGCTGAGAACACAGCTCTGGATTCAGTCCCTCTGTGCTATTAATATTAATGCAAATTTAAAAAGCAATCAAAATACAGTCTCTAGAAACATTATAGTCTTTGGACTAGGCCCTTCATGGACTGTAAGGATGGCCTGTATAACATATGTAATAAAACTTTGCTTTTTCTAGGCAAACCACAGCTATGAGGATATATTTAAGTTGGGCTTTCCAGAAGTCTTTGTATCAGAGTCCAGAGAGAGCATAAGAAGCTTAGATCAAGTACTCGATACAAATAATGAAGATGTTGGAATTCCTGAACTTACAAAGAATCAACCCTGGTAATGTGATTAGATCAAAATTTGAGAAGAAAAAATAATTTAAAAGTTCCTGAGCCATTACATTGTTTATTTCATACTTTAAAAATCAGTGGTGTTTGCAGGTGAACTTAAAAATATTTTTAATCACTATGCTCTTCATCATATAGATCTTACCAATTTGCATTGTGTTGTTAAAGGAAATGGATTGTGTTTTAGTCATTTGAAAACAAGGAAGGGAATATGTAAAAATTACAAATTCCTGCTTGAGGTTTTTCCTGCTGTTGGTGTGCCTTCTTATGACTAAGCCTCTGGAATGCCAGAACACCCAACAAACAGCCTGTTCTTCCTGTTTGCTTGTCCTTTCTTTACAACACATCCGACTTACTTTTCTCTCATCTGAGGCAGGAACACTGCTCTTGCTTCTGTTGACAGCCCACTCACTTCTTTGTCTTCTCTCCCCAGTTTTTCCAGGTGGTAACAACTTTTTACATTTAACTAGATGTGTTTCAGGACCTGTGGTGTATCTGGCTTCTTTCCTGGGCTTCTGTTAATAGCAATTAGTACCATTAATTTGGCTTTCTCTTAAGGCAGCTGGAATGCTTTTAGATTTGTTACGTCTTTTTGAAGGATCAGAAGCTTCTGAGCAGTGTTACAGTTACTTTAGCACACATCTGATGCTTTGTATATGGAAAGCTGGGTCAGACCATACTTTGGAAATGTCGTAAGAATTACAAGAAATGTAGTTAAAACATTTACTACGGGCACTCATTTGGCAAGTTCCTTGTCTTTGCATTATATTTTAATCAGCCTCAAACTCATGGAGATACACGATATATACCTAAGAGGGACTGCAATGTCACAGCAGTGCAGACAAAAAAAGCCTCCTGTGGTGGATAGCTAAGGTCAATAATTGCATCTTGTACACAAAAAAGAATTGGATTTCTGCAGGATAAGTGCAATGTAAGACCCCAAAGTACTACTTAGGGGGAACTCTCTTACAGTAGCATGTGCCTCGGGCTTCTTTGTAGCACCCCCGTGCCCAGAGCAAACACAGGTCACCCCCTGAGCAGCAGGCTGCTGCTGTGGAGAAGCATGGCTGATAGGAAGGAGGAAGGTTTGACAGACAGAAAAGGCAAAATGCAGAATTAACAAGGCTGAACTCAACCCAGATTTCACAGAAGCAATTGAATAATCCGAGCTGCTGGCATTTAACAGTCTCTGAAATATGCCTGTAAAGTGCTGCTTATCTGAGAAGCCCAAACAGACAGTTATGTTGACTTAACTGTTTCTGTTAATTGTCGTGCAAACTTAGTACATTGGGTGGGTAGTTTGAAGGAATGTAGAAAGAGTTTTAAGAGAAGTTGCTTTTTAGATCAAGGTAGGCTACTACATGACTGTATGTAGTGAAAACAGCTACGTTACATACATTTGCTGGAAACTTTGTACATCTTATAACCTCAAATTGTGCTTTCTTTCCAAGCATTGACTCTGGAAACATATGGAGAAGACTTAAAGACTTTGATAATACCCCCAGCTTAAGACATCCCTGGACTAAATCTCATTGGCAAGAAAACCTCTTGAGCGTTCTTGGAATAGATGCAAATCGAAAGGTAATTGAACAGTGGTTTGCTAGTGTGCCAGCATCAATACCTGGTTCTGAATCTGATTTTCTGTAAGTTGTACATGCAGATGCACAATGAACTGGATCTTGGTGAGTCATAGCTTTTTGCAGAGAACCTTTTAAAATGATAATCTAGTGTTTTCTCAGCATTATGTGTAAGTAACTGTGCAGTTGTGCAGGTTCAAATTTTGTCTTTACATTGAAGTCTACACTACATAGCATCCTTTAGTTAGGTGGTACCTCCAGCTATAGTGTGGATGTAGAATTAGCTTTCAGCTGGGTGTGCAGTAAGATGGTTTTCTTTTTCTCTCAGAGCATGAGAAATTGTCAGCCTCTAATATCTCTCTGTTAAGTGAAAATTGGATTTGAATCAGGCTGTTAGAGTAATTCCTGGATGTTTTTACTGTATCCAAACTGAAAGTGTGCTCCACTTCCCTTTTCCTCAGATTAATATATCTGGTTTTGCAAGGCTTGAGGGAGAGTCTGGTTTAAATTTAATTGAGACCAGACTAATAGTACTGAAAGAGCTCAAAAATAAACGTCTTTGTTTAATCTCTGTTTTGAGAAGATATCAGGGGTGGCTTAATATTCAACCTGGTTATGTAGTTGGGATGAATTAGTCACATGTGGTTTTCAGAAGTAATTGTTTCAATTAATAATTTGATTGCTGAAGCATGGGGAGAGGTACTGCATTTAATTTTGATTTTATGGCCATGTTTGACCTTTCATGCAAGTTTTATGCAAACAGAATGACAGTGCTGAAGGTATGGGACCTATTCTGCACTTGAAAGTCACTTTTATGGAACTGTCACTTAACAGAAGAGGATAGGAGACATTTCTCCAGCGTAGTTAACCTCCTCTCCTGTTCCTTTCTTGCCCATAGATACATTGACATTAAATCAATGCCCAGGCAGCTTAAACTTAGGTCATGAATTATTTTCTGTTACTGGAAAATTGTATTGTTTATAACAGTACTGATGAAAATGTGTTTGTCAACTATTTTCTGGTATAGCTTAAGGCAAATTTTAATTGGATTTTAAAAAATTGTTATTAATTTAAGTTACAATTAGATTAACGTGTGTAGAGCTTGTTTTGGCATAAAATTGTTTTGATGCAAGGGGTGCACATGATAAATCAAAATACGGCTTCAGAAAGTAAAATTAATGATTATTATTTGAGGGAAACTTCTTTTAAGTTACATGCTTTGAGATCAGATAGAAATTTGTAAACAAAATGTAAATTATGTTTTATTAGGACTTTTCGGGGAGTCAGGATGATGTTTTTGAGGAATCAAATGTTAATGAGGACTTCAGGGTTGATGGCTTCAGTATTAATGACTGCAAATCACTGATCCAGACCAAGGTAAGGATTTCTCTGAACATAAGCACTTCAGAGAACCAGAGTGTGCTTTACATGTTCCTCTGTGCTGTAGCTGGCTGTTGTGGCATATATCCTAATGTAATTGTTTGGAAGTGGTGTCTGCTTTTGCCTTTTTAAAACCCATCTGAGAGCTTTAGAAAAGGTACAATATAATGTACCAAATGCAAAGTAACATAATATGGGGGATGTTAAAAGTTTGTTCATTATTTAAGCTGGGCTTTTGGTCAAATTACTTACTGGTTGAAAGAGAGCAGTGATATACAAATGTAGTCAGGATGCTCTGGTGACAGAGGAAGGTGAATGTGTCTGTGGAAGGATCAATACATTGGGCACTGAGCATGATGATTGTAACTCACTCCTAAAATACTTGGCAAGGGAGGCATCAGGAGCAAAGCTAGTAGAGAATAAATGGCACTCAAGCTTGCATTTCAGATAGAATTATTGAGATTTGGTTTGTTCACTTGAGAAAAGAGGAGCTACTTAAGTAGAAAGCAGAACTGATGTTATAATTACAGGGATTTAAAAAAATTACTGGTTTTAAGCTGTGTCACAAAACATAGAAAAATGAAATTGAAATACATTGTTAGTGTGTTTATGTCTTTGGTCAAACTGGCCTTTAATAAGCTCCATTTCTTTCTTGCTAAAGCAACGCAAGTTGGTAGGAAAATTCTATCATTCCTTGTTGCTTTAAAAAAAAAAAAAATCTGATGTATTCTGTTTTAATAAAGTATTTTTTATGAATGTTTTTAACTCAAGGTCCCTTCCTCAATGGAGAATGAACTTGAGCAACTGTTGTTGCTGTGGAGATGCATAATTTGAGGCACACTTTCATTGCTCTGTTTTATTCTATTTACTGCATTGGACAATGAAGATGTATAACCATTCTGGGAACCTTGAACATGAGAGATGTTAGACTGGAGAATTCAGGAAGAAAACCATAAGACTTCCCAGTTTATTCTTTCATTATTCAGTTCTGCTTTTTTTTTTTTTTTTTTAATGAGCAAAGGAGGGTGGGATCACAGCAGCTGGCACATACTTGGAAATGTGTAAAATATATAGGGTTTAGGCAAAGGAGAAGTGGTTCAAGGTAGAGGAAGGAGTAAAAGTAGAAATCATGGTAAGTAAAAAGAATCATGTCCAAGGTAAATGGACAGTATTTTTCTGGAGTACCCTCTGAAGGGAAAGAACAAGCCTTGCAGCTTGGTCTCTCAAAGTCAAGCTCATGAGGAAATGTATGTTGCCATTTCTGATTTTTAAGTAAGTTAAATCTTACAGTGGGATGTTCCCTGTTATCTAGTTATGTTCTCTTTTTCTTATGCTAATTTTATTTTTATGAATACTGTATAAAAATTAGATTGAAATATGTGAAGTTATTAACTTACTGTAGGATGGAAAACATTAACTTAATTTTTCTTTTTCACTCAGCTTTCTGTATCACCGGCTTCCAGACATGGCCAGCTTTTCACCTGTAGCCTCTTTTTGAAAACCACATCATCAGATGGCAACATGCAATATATAACAGTCCCAAAGAAGAAGCACATTTTCACTACACATAACCTAAAAAGGAAATTTTTCAGTAGTGATGTTTGTTGAACCAAATGCACTTTTAAACCTTTTTTTTTTTTTTTTTTTTTTTTCCTTTCTGAACAGAAGGCAGTTTACCTTAGTTTTGTTACTGGCTTGGTACTATAGACTAACTATATTCTTTAGGGAAGGTAACATATTAATTACTGTATATGAAGTACCTAAAGCCATGTTGTCAGATGTTTATCCTATTTAGTTGTGAAATCAAAGGTGTAATTTTGTCCTGCCAAGTTTTGCTGCAGTCATGTCTCTTACAGTAAATCCAGCTGCAATCACACTTTAAGGATACTCTGGTGGACTACACCCTGAACTGCTGACCTTCCAGGCCTTAATGCCTCTTTGATCAAAAACCTTGTTTCTCTGCCAAAATCTAAACGCACCTCTGGTGTGTTGTAAACTGTGCCTTGTCACCCTCTCTCCTCATATTTGGTCCAGCCTGGATCAGCTGAGATCTGTTATCTTGCCACTGCTGAATGTAACAGGAGGAGCCTTCTACACTGGGTGGCTTTCACCCAGGTTTAGAAAAATAAAATTGTTTTAATTTCTGTCTGATAAAGTCTACTGAGGTGATAGGAGTTGGGTCAGTGAAATGTTTTGTTCTGGGACTGGTTTCCAACTGAAATCACATTTCTGAAGCTGACAGGACTTCTTGGATTCCGTCATGCACCCAGCACTTACACCATGCACAACCACACTCGTTAAAGCTTAACAGCAGAGTAGTTCAGGAGCTGCACTGCACAATGCTGTAAATTACTGCCCTTTTAAAATGTTATAGTAACTATCAACTATGTTGCCCATCTTCCTGCATGCCTGAGTGCCAGAGGGGATGCATTTTGCTATCATTTATAGAATCCATACTGCTTCCTTGCCAACTGCAACAGCTTTATTTATTCAATGTTAGTAACTTTTATGCAAGTTACTAACCTGTTTACTGCTTCGGCCATTCTGAATATGAGAACTATTTATGACTTTTAATTTTAGGCAGTTGCTAAGCACTGCAACTGACAGACGTGTTACAAGCAGGGAACAAAGTTGGATATTCCCAAACTAAGTCAGTTAATTATTTAGTGATGTGCCTATTCTGTTCTTAGAATTGAGCATACTAAAAATCACTGGTAGACTCCAACCTTTAATCTGGCAAACTGTTTGCTCGGCAGTGAAATTACAAGTGCTGTAACAACTTGTAACTTTAGTAACATCTATGACACCTCAGAGTTATTGGCATAGGACTAACTGTCTATTGGTTACTCAGTATACAGGCGTTTGGGAAAGTCCTGTTTGAAGGCAGCTTCCCTGGCCCTGGAGGGAGTTCAGCAGTGCCAGACGGAAAACGTCCAGCAGGTACCAGAGCAGAGTTAACTGTTTTGCTTAATGCTGAATTTAAATTAATTTTCAATTTCCCTCGCAAGTCTTTCAGAGCACTTAAATGTGTTAAATAGGTTGTAGTCATAAACTCACAAAATAGAAAATTATAAATTGATAGTTGAGGTTGGTAATAAACATAATTTAAATAAGTTTTAAGAATAAAATCCCATGTTTAGGCTTTCAGACATGCAGGGCCCTGCAGATGGGTTTGAGGGGGGGGGCAATCAAGCCTGCAGACCACCAGCTAAAGCACCCCAGAGCCCCTCCTTTCTTCTGGGTTTTTCTTAGCCTTTGCCAACATCAGATGAACTACTGAAGGGTGTTTTGCACTGTTACCCCAAGAGAATGGTGACTACATGACCCGTCCCTCATATTAGCAGGTTTTACAGCCCTGTTCAAAGTACAGATTGGGAAAAAAAAGGGTTTCAGCCCTTCATGATTAATTGGGGAAAAAGAAATATTTGGGTTCCAAAGGTGATGGGCTCCAGACTTAAGGTTTTTCTTTTTGGGACTGATGCTTTGGGCCACCTGAACCCTTCCTGCCCATGAACACAGGTTATAAAAGACAGGCAAGACTTTGACTCCTGTCTTCAGTCTGAGGTGAAAAAGTTCATCTCCTAAAAGACAAGCAGACTTGAAATTAAAAAGTAACTCAATTCAGCTTCAAGGTTGTGGTGTCCTGGCAGCCTTCCAGCCCTCATCAGAATTTGAACACGGTATCTGGGAGCATTTACAAGGAAAAAAAATGCACTCTTATTTCTCTTCCTGACAAGAAAGCACACTTAGACAGACAGACTAAATTTTAGCAGAACTGTCAGGCACGTTGCAGAATATGAAGTACCTTCACCTCGTGTTGTTATCCTGGGAAATGAAGGGTGTCGGAAACCCCCCTGGTGTGTCTTGCACAAATACTGGCTCTTCATTTCCTTTAGTCATTTCCTTGTTCCTGCCTCCCCTGGCACCCAGCCAAGGGTGCCAGCAACTACCCAGCTCCTCTCCAAACATGCGGCTGCCCCGAGGAGCAGCAGGTGGTTTTTTCCATGAAAATGGTGCACAGAGGAAATAAAACTTTGTGTCAGTACGTTTTAATCCATGGATTTCATTTCTTATCTTAGTTGTGAGCTCTCAGCTGTGAAATACTGAGTTTTGATGAACTAACATGTTACTGTTCTGTTTGTGGAAAGCAAATACCACTGAGTTTTGACATTTGCTTAGGATTTCGAAAAGGTGAAAACTAAACCAAGGTATGAACTGTAGAACTAGACAGAAATGCCTTTTTCTTCCACTGAGATGAAAAGGAAAATATACCCATAGAACAAAGGTTTTAAGGAGTTCAAATCTGCAATGTAATTACTGAAATGTTCCTTTTGTAGAAGGAACACTGCAAATGCTTTTGCAAAACAAGAACAATCACGTTGTGAAAGGCTGAAAACATCTCAATGCCCTTTCTGTTCAGAGCTACCACACAAGTAAAATTTTAGGGAATCTACAGAAACAAACCTTAACATTGAACACAGTAGGAAGGCAGTTTTCAAAAGTTGTTTTAGAACCAACGGATATATATCCCTTGTATTTGTAGACTTAATTGTTTATAGTCCAAATAATGTGTAGAAGCTGATTAACCAAATAAACCCACAGCATTTCAGACCTTAGGATGATTTCTAAGTATGCCATAAGCCCACTATTGGTTAAACAAATCCAAGAAGACTTGGAATTAAAAACAGTAACAAAAATCTTGTGAAAGCTTGAAAGTTCTTTTCCAAGTGCAGGGTCATTCCAGAATTTAAAAGCACTCTCATCTATTTAATACTGAAGATCAGTTTCAAAAGTCCTCCCATTTTTTAATGGGAGCACTTCCTGGAATACTCCTGCTCCAGTTAAGATGGCAGATTTTGGCTAAAACTGAGCTGCATTAAAATTAATTTTTAAACTCTAAACTTCACTGTGGATCTGAATTGAACTTCCCAGATCCACTATGGAGGAGTCAAAGAAACAACCAACCAAAGCAGGCAGGCAGCAGCTGCAACAGTCTCGCTTCAGTCACATCTAGCAGAAGTTTACTCTGTTTCTTCTACTGAAACACGGATGAGCACCTTGGGGATTGTTACCCCACAGGGCAGCCTGGGTTCCAACCTACGGCCAGTCTAGCTCAGGGCCCTGCTGGAAAAAAATGGGTCCTTATGAGGGAAAAACGTATGCAATGATGTTGCAATATTTTTCTTCTTTTTCAATCATGGCAAGATGCCTATGAACATTGGGCAATTAGATGCACAAATCTCCCAGCTTTCCTGAATGCCTACTTTAATAATACATACTTTTCTAGACACATTTCTGCATCTCTGTAGCTTAACTCTTCATTTCTAATATTGGTTTTTAATAGCTCAAAATTAGTTTTGCAACTAATTTATGCATCTTGCTCACAGAACTAACAGATAGGGTATTTTCTTTTGTGTCTTTTAGTCTTGTTTGAGCTGGGGAAGTAAAGGATTTTTAAGTCTTACTTCCAGTATACATAACACTAAGCTAGATAGAGCACTCTGGGTTGTTCGTGCACCTCCTCAGCTAGCCCTGGGGTGAGGCAAGAGGCTTTTGCACATATCTGAATATATTTGTATATAATTGTATATATTTTATTTTATCATTAGTGTTTAATTAAAGCTGTGTAGTTTAGTTTTCAATCCAGCCAAGTGTCTTTCTTAGGTTTCCCCTACCTGGGAGGGGAAGGGGATCGAGAGCATTGTTGTCAAACCCGAGTCAAAAGGTGACAGACCTGAAAGCAGTATATTTAAAATGTTGTTCTTAAAAGACTAAACTGCAGTGTACCTTCATAAGGGCAGCATTTTCTCTTGCTGAACTTCAAGACCCATCCGTACATGAACAGGTTTGTATTGCAGCTTCCTGCTCCAGTAACACAGCCACTGCACTAAGGTCACACTGGTAACCACCTCACAGCCAAAACCAGGTTTCCATGAAGTTGCTTCTAGACCTACACTTCACATGCTTTGGTCAGCAGGTCCCAGGACATAAGGTAGGAAGAATTTCTGGTCTGTAAGCAGCAGCCAATGCAGCCTTCTCAATAAAACTAAGTTAATTGCAGAAGACTCAGGATCTCATTTCTGAGGTCCACAATAGGAAGAGGATGGAAACCTTTAAACCTGAAGCTGCTGGTGTAATTTGTATTAACACAGACCAGCCACCAACCCTCTGCTAGCACTGAGTGGCAGTGCTTTTGTCCCAGACTGACAAGTATACAAGTCTCGAGTATCAACAGTATGTTCATCAAGGACGCTTGTACCTGACCTTGCATTGACACATGGCAACCCCTGAAGCAACACCAGGAACAACACAGGGCAGTCAAGGCAAAAATCAGGACAGATAAATGCTAACAAACATATGTCGCCTGTTTGCACCAGGAATCCCCCCACCCACCAGCTGTAAGTGTCCTGTGGGCCATCCCCCTTGTTCTGCAGGGACAGGACATGTGAAACCACCTAAGGCACTGAGTGCTTCTGGGGAGAAAGGAAGGAAAAAACCAAATCAAAAACATCTTTAAAAAAACCCAAACCAACCAACCAAAAAAACCCAAAACAAAACAAAAAAACAACAACAAAACAAACACAAACCCAAGCAAAAACAACAACAAAAAACCAAACAAACAAAAACCAAAACAGAAAAAAAAGTGTAAAAGTGATCACATAGGGAACATGTTACATCTTTGTGAGCAGATGAGTAAATCAAGGGTGGCAAGGAACCAAGTTTTTTTTTTGTTTTTAAAACAGTCAAAAACTGAAGGCTTCAAAATATAAATGGTTAAACTGCAAAACTGTGGCTTTTATTTCCAAACATACAATAAATAGGTCTACCACAACTAGCCTCTAACTTCGTTTTACATGGAAGGATTTTAAAATTAGTTTGTGCATATTTAAAAATTAAACTTCCCTTTGCACATAATTCCATACATAACCAAACTGCATGACATACCAGCTTATGGTCTTGGCACTGTGATGCAAGCAACCAATTAGAGCTTTGCAGCAAGCACTTGAACAAAAATTGCATTTTGAATTGTTGACAAAACATCTACCAGCAATTTCATCTATTTCTGAAGTATACAAAAAACTTGACGATGTAAATGCTGAAAAGCATGTTGCCTTCTCTTATATTTCTGTAGGGGCTGCAAGGTAATAAGTGGCTTTATTAAGTGTTGACTATTTGCTACATGATACAATTTTCATACCAAAATATCTTTACTGCATAGTAACATTCCATATTTTCAAATGCAAAAAGAAATTAGATGCAGTCTTTTCATTTTATTCCTCATCATTGAATTTAAAGTAATTTTTAACCACAACTCTGCTTCATCACAGTGCAGAAGGCCCTTAATATTTCAAGGATTTACTCAGTTGTATTTTTAATACAAAAGTAGAGGCTGAGGAAAAGCCAGAGTAGTCTATACACAATGCACAATCTGTGTACATTCTGAAGCTGTACCTCTTCAAGAACTATTTATACACTCTTCAAACAAATCCCTTTATCCAGCAATTCAAAATACTTTAGATCAGAAGTTTTATATTAGAATCAATACATTATATGCATATAAATACATTTATACCCTTCGGTTGCTAAACAACCCAGATGGCTGCGAGGATGTGACCTGAACTGGTTCTCCACTGGTTTGGGATACCAAATCGTATTGGCAGATAACTGTCAACCACAGTGGAGATCTTTGCACAAGGCAGGTGAGCCACAGCATAGTTAAGACTAGAAATAGTAGGTGACACCCTGGCCCCTTCACAGTATGGCCAGGATTTCAACTTCTGTGAGATGCAACACACAGGCAACATTTTCTTCTCCTCTGCCGATGCCCCAATCATAAAAAGTCTCAGCAGAACAACAGCAAAAGAAAAAACAAAACCAAACAAAACAACCCCAACAAACCAAAACCCCAACAAACCAAAGCAAAGCTTTTACAACTGCAAATTTTCTTACAAGACAGGTGCTGCAGCTTTCAAGAACAAAGCAACATTTTTATCATTAAAAAATAACAAAAAACCCCCGGAGTCCTAATGTGCAAGTGTGTAGCTCAGAAGACAATAGCAATTATCAATATAAAAAAAATCCCGGTTCAAGCTGGAACACAGTATCCAAACTGTCTCATGGAAAAATAGTTCTCACTGCAAACCTCATTTTCAGTTAATGAGTGCACTTTATATATACTTATATACACACCTGCCATTCATATGCACCCCTCCCTCCTTGCCCAGCACAATCTGCAGCAGCAACCACCACCAGGATGCTTCAAAGCCCATGCAGGCGCCAGAGCCCTGAGCTCTTGGGGACACAGCTGCAGGATGGCTGAGTCATCTGCACTGACTCACCACCCATCAATGAGCACTTCAGGAGTATCCAAAGCAGAAAGCACTGATGTAGTAAGAAGTATTCTTAACTTTGTTGCTTAAAGGATACAGACATGTTGATTGAGTATCCTCCCAAGGTGCTAGAAGTTTTAAGTTTGAAGCTTTTCTTTCTACAATGCCAGGTATACAAATGTGTATCTTTTTAAATAATATTGCACATAAAAATAATCTTAAACTTTGTAGTGAAAGCAGGGTTGAAGGACAGTGTTTTCCAAAACAGATTTAAAAGCTACCTGTACATAGTAAGTTTTAATTTAAAGAACGCCAAGATTATTCAAAATCTAAGCACATAATACTGACAGAAAAATGTTAAATTGCACAATCTACATATAAATTACATTTGTAAATACTTCAAAGTTTTAAAACATCGAATACCCTTGATTTCACAAATCAGCTAGGTCACTGTCAAAGGATCAGCTTGATGAGTTAGAAGTACTTTCCCCCAGCAAAAATAAAATAGAAACACAAAGATCTGCAGTCTTAGATGAAGCACTGGAAAGAGTTAAAGCATTTCAGCTCAGAGGTAGTGCTAAACACATCCAACTAGGAGTCCGTTATATTTGAACTATGATGAAATAACGTAGTAAAATGTAGAAAGACTATAAAATTTACAAAAATAAATAGTTCTGAACGCTTTAGAAAATGCAAGAGACTCTGTTGACAAGTGTCTTGATCTGCTTTTCGGACCAAAAGAAAGCGTGTCTCATTTTTAAAATATACCCATCTCTAGCAATGCGCCTGCAGCCCATGCAATCTAACTATGCAACTTGATGTATGCCAACTTGGCACAGTCTCTGATATTAAAAATAAAGTGGAGGCTTTGTAAAAGATCATCTCATATGAAAATTGTTTCGCATGTAAATTCTTCTGACAAATTAAAAATTGCACATAAAAAAGTTTATTGAAAGAGGCATGAGGGGTGATAAGGGTATGTGCCTTATTGTTCCACATACACCCTGGAAGGAAAAAGATGATTGCACAGTTCTTATAAATAAATAATTCTTTAAAAAAAAAAATCTGCCACTTTTTTGGTTATAAGTTTTGGAATTACTTAGAAAATCCAACTATAGACAAATTATTTTTAGTTTGTTCTGAAGGATTCTTTACAACTCTTCCAGTGGCTTTTATCCTGAAACCAAATGGAAGTGGCAGTTAAAAAGTATCTTTGGGTAAAACAAGGATCAGGATCCAACAAGAATTTCCATGATGTGGTCCAACTCACTCAGATCTGCTCTACATATCTGAATGTTGCTTGCTGAAGAAGTATTACAAGATGGGAAGGTTTTCAATGGTTCTTCTGTAGCAAGAGATGGTGGTCTGGGCGGCATAAGCGGAGGGCAACAGAAGTCTGAATCATACATTGAAGTGTCAATATCTTCAAAAATGTCATCTATCGCCAAATCCTTCAAGTAACTAGTTGAATTTGAAATCTCAAAGGAACCAAACACACATTCAGCTCCCTTCAAATCCTGTCTATCATCTTCTAGTTTTAGACCGGTATTTTCTGGAAACTTTGGCTGGTCATCTCCAGTAGGAACCAGACAAGTAGGTGGGCTTATATCTTCTACAAAGTCTAAATCCTTCAGGATAGATGAAATAGCAGATGACATATCATCATCTGAAACTATCAGCAGGCTATTCTCAATTGGGTCTTCTACAGACCGCAAGTCGCAACAGTTAGACTCTTGCTGACTAATACCTGAAGGCAACTGAAGAGAAATCCCAGATGACTCCATGTAGCTGTGAGAACTAGGAGTAATGCCAGGGCAGACATTAACTGGCTGCTGATTACTCTCTTGTCTCATTTCCTCCTGAATTTGCCGCACTGTGTTGGCTATGAGGACAGAACGGTGTAAGTTCGGTTCCACCAGCATTTTGTAGGTCTGTAACTTGGTGAGGCACATATTAAGCACCAGCTGCCTCTTAAGTGGGTATGACAGACTTCGACTGGAATCAAAGGCACTCGAGAGACCAGCCATGTTCTCCTCATAGTCACTCAGCTTGCGTTTTAGACCTCTCCCCAACATGAACCTGAAAGAGAGAAATTCTGAATTAACCTTGGGCAAGACTATTGCTGCTTCTGCAAGATGTCAACAGACACTTTTGAAAAGTCTGTAGCGTACAATGTGTTGGCTCACTTAGATTCTAATGCCACAGAACACTGAAAGACAGTAAAAATCCTACACAAGATACCACCTTCATTGATAAGGTGCACTTTATTGTTTCACAACATTTTATTATTTTAGCAGAAATCATGAAAGAAATATAGTAACTTTTTAAAGAAGCTATATACTTCTAAGTTTTGGTTTTAAGATTTACTTTAAATTCCACTATGGAATGTTAATTCAATTATTTAAAATCCCTAATAGGAGAGCTTCTTAGGTTCTTGCCCATTTAAATTATATAGCATATAAAAATTAATGAGAAATATCTGAATGTCCACACAAACTAAAATACATGCTTATATTAAGGATTATGATTCTACAGAGTATTCCAATGTTTTCATATTAACATTCATAACTAGGTACAGTAGGTAAGATTTTAAAGCTAGTTTCAACAACCAATTTTATGTCATTAAGGTACTCATAATGTCTTGCTCAGTGCCTCTGAGAATTCTCAATAGAAGTAATTTCTCTCTCTCTTCTTTGGTGATTTAAAGTTGTTTTGCTAAGTTGAAACACATAGCAAGACCAACAACAGGGCCTCCCATGAGATACTTATATCCATTGCATAGCTTAGCAGTCTACCTAAACAGTGGAAGATGTGATGCCAGGTGCTCATGGCTGCTGGTTCACAATCTGCTACTGATTTAACACTAAGCACATCCAGCAGGAGGCTACCAGATAGCATTGTAAAAGTGACCAATTTTCAGTAAATAGCTAAGAGAAAATAAAGCTGCTTCTAGCTTGCTTTGTGTGCTTTTGCACTGACATATGGTAGGTCTAGAACACTGTGGTACAAAAAACCTGCGTGCACACACACCTGACATATAAGTGACCCAAACAAATACAAGCATGGATACCTTGCAATTAGCAGTCACAACATAAAGTGTTTTATTAGGAACAAAAAGCACTATGCAATCACTTGTATAAACACAGAAAGAAGGAAAACACTGGTAAAACACTGATCACACACATCTTGATATGCCCATGGAACACATGCACCTCACTCCCAAACAATTAGAAAAAATAAGCAATCATAACTTAAGACATCCACTGGCAAATTAAGGGCAGATCCTTCATACACAATGACCCAGACCCTGCACACTGCAGAGGGCCTCCCAGCTTCCTCTTCATGTCAGCACTGGACACTGCCAGCAATAGCTCAGCTGATTGCTGCAGCTGCCAGCTGCTAGGCTTTTGGGGACAATGAGATGGCAGCAGGATAAAGCCTCCTTTACTTTTGGGGTTTCTCTAGATTTGCAGGAAGCACTGGAGGGCTCCATGGCTACATCAATCTGCCTAGACAAGACTGTTAGAGAACTCTGCTCCTCTGGAAGGAGAGAAAGTAAGCAAGTAGTGCATATGCCTCAGTAAGACACAGGAAAAAACAAACTTCACAGAATCACAGAATGTTTGGAGTTGGAAGGGACCTTGAAGATCACCGAGTTCCAACTCCCCTGCATCGGCAGGGACACTTCCCACTAGAACAGGCTGCTCAGAGCCCCATCCAACCTGCCCTTGAACACCTCTCCAGGGATGGAGCCCCCACAACATGTCTGGACAGCCTGTTCCAGCGTCTCACCACCCTTACACTGAAGAATTTCTGCCTGATCTAACCTAAATCTCTCTTCTTTCACTTTACAACCATTACCCCTTTTGCTCTCACTGCAAGCCCCTGTAAAAAGTTCCTTCCCCAGCTTTGCTGTAGGCCCCCTCAGGTACTGGAAGGCCACTATGAGGTCCCTCCAAAGCTTTCTCTTCTTCAGGCTGAACAACCCCAACTCAGCCTGTCCTCATAAGAGAGGTGCTCCAGCGCTTGGATCATTTTCGTGGCCCTTCTCTGGACACATTCCAACAGGTCCACATCTTTCTTGTGCTGGGGGCACCAGAGCTGGATGCAGTATTCTAGGTGAGGTCTCACCAGGGCAGAGTAGAGGGGCGGAATCACCTCTCTCGATCTGCTGGCTGGAGATGGCCTTCTGGACTGCAACTGCACATTGGTGGCTCATGTCCACCTTTTGATCCACTCGTATCCCCAGGTCCTTTTCCATGGGGATGCTCGCAAGTGTGACCTCCCCCAGTCTGTATTCATATGTTGGGTTACCTTGGCCCAGGTGCAGGATCCTGCACTTGGCCTTGTTGAACATCAAGAGGTTCATCTGGGCCCACTTCTCTAGCTTGTCCAGGTCCCTCTGGATGGCATCCCATCCCTCTTGCTAGTGGAGCGTAGGATTAAGACTTCTCAATCATACCCACTTTTTTTTTGTAGGAGCATATCTGAATTAAATTAAATTTGTCATAAGAATGCATTGTTACATAACAGGTAGTAGTTTGTCCTATAGTTCAGATTTCAAACAAATTCACTATTAAAACAACAACAAACCCCTTTAATTACTACTAATCTTACCAGTGCTGCAATTTTTTAACTTTGGAAATCTGCTTTACTCCAAAGTTTTCTGCTGAGCTGCAGCAGAACCAGCTGAATCTCTTTAAAAAAACATAAGGTGTCTGGATCTGACGTTCCTATTCACCTAGGTGATCTTCCCACACTTTTAATTCCAGCCCCTTACTTGGAGCAGAGTCAGACAGTACTGGGCACTCAAATACAAACACAATCAGAAGAAATCTTGATACAAATTTCAAGCCCCAAATAATAGAAAGTGTTTTGCGTGCATGTGAACACGTCGGGCATCCCCGGTCAAACTATTGACAACACTGTCAGCAACTGGACATTTTAGACAATCTACAGAAAATCACAACTATGCATGACTTCACAGTAAAACTGTTGCTAAATATGCTAACTCATAACGTATCATGAAGACAATTAGTGTCTGCAAGTCAGTGGAAACACATAATAAAATTATTAACACTCCATTTTAAGTGGCATTTGCATGTTGTGTGCTACCTACAGCATTACCCTATACCATTAGTATAAAGAATAAAAATACACATTAAAACAGCTATTTGTTCACTAAGCACTATCCTTCCCAAACACTGCACGCTAGTTTTTTTTCTTCTTTTTTCTCTCCACTAATTGAAGCAGACCTAAATTCACACTCTTAAGTGAATGAAATGAAGATCATTGTCACAGATATGGCAGACAGGAAACAGTAATTCTGACATTTTATACATTCAAATACTTGGTTTTGACAATTTATGGCTTTTAATAATTTCAAAATATATATGAACACTTTGTTAGACACACAGGAAAGACTAGATTAACCTATATATGAATTACATAAATAATGACAATTTCCAATATCTCAAAAATGAGCTAGTTTTTAAATTCTGTAAGAAAGCATAAAGAGCAAACAAACTATCCTATGTGAGGATACATAATTTCACAAAAACAACTAAATGAAATTAACTTTTCAATTCATACAGTAGTCTAATTAGACTAAATATTTAATGCTCATATATGCAGACACCCTCCTTTTTCATTCCTCAAGTTTCCCTTCATAAAATTTTTTGCACAGTATTATAGAAATAAGTATCAAAGCTTGAGCATGACAGCAGTTTGGACTGCAAAAAAAAAGTGCAAGAAACATTATTAGCTCCAACTTCAAATGTTTCTACATAACAGACTCCCTACTCTCTAGATGTCAAAGTTTTTTTTAAATTTCTTTTCAACACACAAAGATACTCCTATCTTATGTTTTAGAAATTTTGCCTGTTTTGTATGATTTTTGACAAATTGCAAGGATCTGTAAGTCTCCCTCCAGAAGCTAGATGACTCACAGATTACATAAAAAATTTGGAAAAGGCTAATGAAAAGCCAAGTACTACTGGTAGAGCGGATTTCAAAATGACTAGTGTCATGGTTGCTACAGGAGACTTTAAATTTCAGTTCTTGTCAAACACACTCAGCTGCTGACCTACAAAAGATACAAAGCCTCTTTGTTACCAGCTAATCTACATTTTATCAGGCCTTTTTCTTTATTTTCTAGCATAAGAATTTCTGACAGGGTCCTATCCTTAAACTATTCCATGTTTTCCAAGTAACTTGTCCTTTTAGCATTGCATATTCACACATACATCCCAAACCCAACATTCACGAACCAGTCAAATGCTCTCTTTTGACAGCATAACTTTGCAATATAAGATGTCAATCACAGCATTTAATTATGCAGTGCTCCCCCCACTTCAGTGTTTGATACTAAGGAAAGCAAACAGAAGTCCACACAAAAATCCAGGCTACCATGCCCACACAATCCTGTGTTACTGAGTGACTGCTGCACAGTTAAAGAAGCACAAGTCAGGCACAAAGAGTGCCTAGAAACTGCACTCTCCTTACTCCTGCCTAATTCCAGGAACCTAATCAGATCTCAAAAACACTGGATCAAGTAATAGGGTTTTGGAATGTGCCGATCTGATAGCTCTGTAATTTGTAAGTAAACAATCTGAACAAAAATAAAAGTTTACACCAACTTCAAACCTGAGGTCTATACATACCTGTTTAATAACAAAAGAGGCAAGCTGTAAGTCACTCTTTAAGGACAGTGCAACAACTGATTTCTTTTTTTTTTTAGTTCAGATATTCTGTTTTGGAATCTTTTGTCATGAAAAAAAAAACAAGAACAATGAGGAACACCACAACTCCAGAATTTTTGGTTGTTGTCTCATATTCTCTCATCATGGTAATGCAGACTGAGCCACAGGCCATTTACAGCAGAATGCTTTTCTAATTAAAACTATTTTGCAGATATAGAGAAAAGGAAGCAAAGTGAACTCAATGTTTAGGAGTGCCAAACTCCCCCATCCATGTCACTGAACTACAAAGGAATCTGTATGTAGAAATTCTGCCTGAAAGCATGTTCCTTAGTCCTTTCCAGATCCACGGAGGACATTTCATAGAAACTCCTCCCTGCTAAGATGGCAAGAAGCATCCATGCACTGTAATCCTACACCGTACCACAGTTTGAAAAAAACTTGGGAGGGAATATCACGTCCCTGGCTGGCAAATCCACACAGAATACCAAACAGGCCTGGTCAGAGCATGCAGCTACTCAGAAGAAACATTCCAGGCTATGAAGAAAATTTCACATTGCAATATGTTGTGGACAATACAGGACTCATGCCACCATTTCAGAGGAAAAACACAGCTCCATCTGTCACAGGGTCTGATAGTGCAGCTGTCACTGACACACGGTTAGGAAGTACAGCTGGAAGCAGTCACAAAGAATGCTGCATGTGAAAACCACCAACTACTTCTGTCTGGGCAAACTACTACTTTCCTCTTCCTCACCTTCCAAAAAATGTTTTAAGAGCAAGTTAAACAATATTTAGAACTTAGAACTGCATAGAGCTTTAATTTTCAGTTGAGAAAGCTTCAGAAAACATGAGTATACAAAACAAAACCTGACAGTTAGTATGGTCTGAACACACAAACTTTTAATGCACAAAACAAGCACTACAGTCAACTGCACAAGAGTTACTCATTTACCATTATAGAACACGTTTAAATAGCAAGATCATCAAGAAAGCACTTGGCCTGCACTACGCAGGTCAAAATGTCATTGATAGTGGTCCCCACTGGCTTTCATTTTCAGGATACCACTGAACTCAGACTTCCTTTAACTTTTTCATACAGCTGCACGGTTGAATTTTTCAGCCTAAAATTGTCTCAAACTGAACAACTACTTTCCCTCATATGACAGAAATACCAGTCTTGAATAGGTGCAGGCATCTCACGAGTGAAAGCTGCCTGTGTAGTTTTCAATAACGCAGCTCATGTATTAAAAACAAAATTAAAGACACCTTCCTATGGTAATTTGGCTAATTCCCTTTCAAAGTCTCCTTAGGCTCCTAAATGTAGAAACCATGTAACAGTAAAACAGAAGACCCTTTGGTTAGTGGCTGACAGCCTGATTCCCTGCTCTCTCCCCTCTTCCATGGACACACATTTCACTAACCCGCATCTTTCTGCAGGAAGTGCAGAGGAAGACAAACATCCCTACAGCTATCGTTATTTCCCAGAATTATTTTATTTATGCCACATGTTATTTACATGATAAACTTTCCCCTACCTGACATACATTTTTAGCTTAGAAAACATCAACTTTGTTAATAGTTTTAATTAAGTGGTGGACTGACTCTTGACTAATACTCTACACGTTAAGAAGCTGCCCAAGAAGAAGGCAAGGCTGAAGGTGCAGTTAGCAGACACAGTATAAATCCTTTCCTCCCATCCGGACTTAACACTGAGCATTTAAACATGACTTATGTAACACAGTAAGCTGTCAGACTATACAGAACAGTGTATATGATCTGGTGTCCTCAGCAAGTGTTGGAGATACCAATCACATCTTGGCTGTCAGCAAAAATTAAGGGTAGTGAGGAAACCTTAATGATTAATATAAGTGATTAAATACCTTAGAAAACACCTCAGTAAAAAAGTAATTTGGACCTGAAGACACTTTAAAAGACAAAAAAGTGTATCTAAGTTCATTGCCTCCCCACCCCCTGCCCTGCCCCAGTTTAGCCAAGATGAGTAACTGCTGGAGAAGGCACAAGTGACTAAAAGTGTGCATACAGGGAGGAGTGCAGTCCTACCAGCTTACTCCCATACCTAAACTCCTATGTAACAACTTCTTTACAGGAGTTAAAAATGACCAGAAAATAGGTGCTCAAAGGAAGAACTAATGTTCATTTTTTGGGTCATCAAATCCTGAGTAACACCTAAATCTGTTACTATTAAAGCAGCTGGAACACAGAACCAAGCATGCTACTGTTCACAAACAAAACATGCCCTACAACGAACCCACAAAAACACCAAGAAAAAACCCCCTCACACCTATGGATGTACCTAACATCCTTTCCCTAATTTTGAAAATAAAAGTAGGCTGAATAGTATTCATTAAGTAGAGGAAAGGAATAAGAGGAGGACTGAGTCTAGCACAGAGTTCATCTGGAACTCATAACCTTGCTACTATCACATCACTATTTTTGGACTTAGAGAACAAACACCTATCCTACACTAATATTGTAGGACCTGAAATTATGTTCACAAAGGGCTTGGGAGTAGGTTTTACGTTCATCTAAAAGTCAGTTTGAGTCCCCCCCCCACAAGCTGTTTATATTATGTCTAACGGGATCTGGAAAATTCCAGCACTTAAAGGACATCTTCCCAAGTTTGTTACTCCTATTTTATTTCATAAAGCACTGATTAGCGCTCTGTTTTACAAACCACTGCAGCTAAGCTTCAGAGCACATTTCACTCTGGAGGTGAAATTCCTGTGTCAGGATGTGTACCTTCCACAAGCTAAAACAAGTGGATCTGTGCTGTATTCTCAGCAGTCGATATCTATCACTAGAGGTTAATATGGAAAGATACTGAGGCAGTACCAGGGCTAAGCAGAAAAAAAACTTTTCCATCCTTAACACAAACTAGACCAGTGTCACGCTTCCCCTTCCTCTCTACCTCTACACTTGTGTGTTTAGTTTCACATTTACAAGTAAAACACACAGGTATATACTTTTAATGACAATGTGCTTTTTTACAGAAATTTTGGGGGGATTTTTATTTTTTTTTTAACAGAAGGGCCTGGAATATTTTAAACTAAGGATCAGTATTAGTTAGCAAATGCTAGCCCATGATGAAGAGTTAGTAAATCTAGAAACTTCCATAGTAAAACTAAATTGTAATTAAGTCAGAACATAAAGGAATTCAAACAACAAGAATTAAATACCACGGTTTAAAGGTTGGACTTGATGATCTTAAAGGTCTTTTCCAACCTAAATGATTTTATGATTCTGCAGTGCCACCAAAGTATCTCACTGGAGAAACAAATGATCATTAAAATGGCGGTTATGATGCCATACCTCTTCACAGCTTGTTCTAATCAACTGAACAGTTCTCAGTTTTCCTTACAGAATCTAGTTAACAGACAGAGATACTGGATGTATTCAGCTATATAATGCTGGCTTATTTTCGGGTTACAGTGCTCTAAATAAAGATCCATTAATAATAAAAGTTACAGCTTATTAACTATATCAAATCAGCATACTTTAACAGAAAACTCTGACCATTACCAGCAAAAGCAGCAAAATAAAGATTTAAAAACCTCTCTTTTTCCTCATAGAGGATAATTCATTTACTCCAGCTCTTTGTATGGGATATTTAGGTAAGTAATTTTCAATAACCAAATCAGAAATAATCTCATCTTTTCTCTAACAGAGTAGTACAGAGCAGCTCCGCCAGTATCCAGACTGCCCTCTCCTCTCAAGAAAATAATGTAACACTTTGCAAAGTTCTAGGGCAGGTACTACAGAAACTGCATCAACTTCAGCAGCTGAACAGCAGACTCGCTGTGAGGCTGGGGGCCTTAGTGATCTTACCCAGGCATTAAATTCGTTGTTACTTCATATTACTTCCTCATTAAAAAGAAAAAAAAAAAAAAAAAAAAAAAAGTAATGCAAACTCAGAATATTAAAATCAAAGAACTTCAATTTATATTATATACTAATTAAAAAAAATTATTTTTCAGTTAACCATTCTAGTTCACAAAAATAGCATCTACAGCGGATTATCAGAACACGCACTAGGAACATAAGATATGATTTAATAAAAACATACAAGTAGTTACCCTTAGAAAACAGAAGAGAGTCCAGGCAAGAATATTCCAGATTTTGCATAAAGTGTGGTCAATCAAGAGTCTTGAACTACCCAAGAGGCCAAGCCATCCACCGAGGTAGGATGATGTGACTTAAGGGGAAAAAAACAAAACAAAAACAGAGTATTTCATTACTATTTTTTTTTAACCAGAACCATTAAGCACACAATTCAATGCAACTTTTTAAACTATTTGCACCAAATCCCCTTAAACAATTAAACTGAATAAGGAAAACTGAAATTCATTAATACACTGAAATAAAAAGACCTAACAGTTTCACCTATGAACACATAAAACATGAAAATTACCTTTCATAAATGAATACTACAGAATACAACGCTGATCCTCTAAGTGTTAGGCTTTAGGATAAGAACTTGCATTGATACTTCTTCAGGTTACTGAACACCGATTTACAGTTGTAATCATCTCAGAAATCACGTATCAGGAGAGACAATACCATGAACTGTAAAGAAGTACATTTCAGAATTATCCCCTAACATTTACAAGCTGCAAAAGGACTTAGATTTTTGTTAAATTCCCTAGCTTTCCTTGTTTTCAGCATACTCAAAGCTAATATGACAAAACAGCTAGCTAGATGTCCTATCATTGCATATAAATGTGTGGCATAATTTTCATCAAAACCCTGATAAAGCAACATCTGCAGTTTGGCTAGATGCCACAGATTAAATAATGGATTAGACTGAGGCACTGGAAACTCTGGGAAACGTGAAAAGGCTGAAGTGATAGGTAACTATGGACTTGGCATAGAGGGAATGCTATGATTCTATGAATTGCATGATCCATGCTCCTGAGGTCTTAACTCCACCTGAAGAATCAAAGTTTTTTCACTCCAAGAATTAAAGCCCTTATACAGGCTAACAGCCTACAGTCTGGATTATACTTAACGTGTTGTGTGTGCATAATATACATAGGTACACACAGACACCTGTCCCCCGACTACAGCAAACCAATTACTTCACAAATTTACCTCAAGAGCAAGGATCAGAACTTGGCCAGATAAACACAGTCCTTCATGTTCAAGGATGAAGCGTTCATTCATTGTTTTACAAATCTTAATATAATACATAGTGAAAGGCAGTCTTACATTTAGACAGATGGAAAGGTAAACGAATACAGTTCATCTTACATAGGAACTCATAGCCTGATGCTATCAAAGGGCTCCTCCGTTTACAGAATCTTGGAACTGTAAAGATGCAGTAAAACAGCAGTAAAATGCCCGCGACCTAAGAATGCCAAATCTAACCCACACCAATAAACACCTCCCTCCTCCTTCTAGAAGCTGACACCTTCCTCCATAAGGAAATCCATGCTATTTGTAAATCAAAAACAAACAAACAAACAAAAAACCCCAAAAACCAAGTAGAAAAATGAAGACTCATAATCTATTTGCTCGGAAACAGCAGGACTTCAAAAGGTCACTGCTGAGGTTTAATACAAAGTACATGTTAGGTCCCAGGGGAAGGTGTAACACTCATTGCACTTTCTATACAGGGAACGTAAAAGAACAAACATTCTAAAATGTGAACTCTTTTTAGCATTAAAGAATCCTATAAAAGCTAAAAAAATCACACTAAAATGTTTAAAAGTTTTCGATTCCAGCACCTTAGTTTAAAAAAATAGAAAAGCGTTTAATAAAAAACTAGTACTGTTAACTGTGTTTTAGAAGTAAAACCTTCTGCTGGAAGGAGCTGAAGTCTAAGAAGTCATCAAATTTAATTCCTTTATTACATCCTTTAAAGGACTCCTGAAAAATTAACTGTAAAGGTCGTGATTTTTCCTTTATATGATTTCACACTGGGACAAGTGTCAGGAAGACGTACAGAGGTAAGGCACTACTGGTTTGGTTTTTACAATTTATTAAAAAAAAAACAAAACACATGGCAGCTGTAAATCACTAGAAATTATATGTTCAGCAGATTATTTTTTTCTTTCACTGTTTTCACTTGCAGTTTCCTAGTAGTTGTTTATGGGTTACTTTAGAAATTTGCCATGCTAGCATTCATTTCAATGTTCACAGTACTTCTCACACCGCAGTTAGCTGCCTGAACTAAGGAACCTGAGCTGAAACAAAGTAGAAAACTACTGCACGTGGCTCCTACCTATTTTATTTTGGAAATGAACTGTTCCAACACAGATTGCGAAATTCCAGGCCTATCCAGGGCAAAAATTATTAACAGGCATCTATCAGCGAGATGAATTTACGAAACTGAATAAAAGAGACCAAGCTTACGCTGCTCCCGTCTTAACCCACCTACTGGTAGCTCAGACTTAACATGCGCGTTTACGGAGACAAAACGGACCCTGCTATTAAAAACGCAACTGCAGCAAAGACACAAGTCTCAGCCCTCCCGAGGCAGCGCTCGGGAAAGCCGCCTCTTCCCCCTCCTCCTCCTCCTCCTCTACCCTCCTCCTCCTCCTCTCTTACTTCTTCCTCCTCTTCCTCTTCCCCCTCTTCCCCCTCCTCTTCCTCCT